CATATCTGTAGCACATGAGGTCTATACCTTGTATCCATATACAAGTAGATAAGTTGTGCTAGTCTTACCCGAGATTACTGACCCCATTCTCAGTATCTCTAGACTAGGAACATAAAATTAGGAATAAACATCCGGTATTCTTGAATCCTCATTATTGTGATCTCATCACAGATACTCAAGAGATACCTATTTTATTCCACGGGGTTTATCAAGTTATTCATAATATATTAACATTAATATCGAGACAGAATTATAAAACAAGATGAAGAGTACTTTTATTTATTTGCGACAATATTAAAAAGGTCTACATCTATGTCCTTATTTAATCATAAGATTGTCTCTAGGACACCCAAATACTAACAATATCTTGATGGTCAATGGTCACTAATACTGGCTCATGGGATTAATTAGTAGATGTATGTTTAGATTTACGCTTTCGCAGTATCTCAAGTGAACGTTTTTAGAAATGTTTTCAGAAAATGTTTTGGAAAGAGTTTATTCATATTTTTAAGAGACGTTTTTCAATCTTTAAATAAAATCTTCCGCTGTGTACGCTATAATATCATGATGTTAACAATCAGAGTACTACAGGGTGTTACAGTAATCTTTGTAAATTGGACAACTGGGGATTTGTAAATCCCACTCTCAAGGGTTCATGATAAACAGTTTATACCATATATGATTTCAGAACTACCAGATATTCACATAGGACTATATACACATCCATGGGTGCATGCAGAACTTGGCTTCGTGCCACTATGTCTAACAGCCTGCAAATCCAACATGTAAGCATATAATTGAATATTGTATCATAATATAAACATGTCTGCATACCCAGATGTACTTGCATCAAGCGGAAAACAAGTACAAAACATATACAGGCCATATACAAAGTAACAAATCAGACATCATGATCCACCAAAATAAATGGAATACTAATGCAAATCACAATCCTCCAAAATAATGGTAGCAGACTGCTACCCAAAAATCCGATCCGTGATGCACTCTACCTACGGGTCGTATCCTTGCCCCGTGAAGGCTCAACGGCAACTTGTGCACCTGAAATGATGTCTCCAAGAAGGGGTGAGATAACAAATCTCAGTAACCTCCAGGTTTATAGAGAATTCTCCATACACCTGGGTCTACTCCTACATGAAAGTTAGATACAGAGTATACAAAGCATCATATAACATATATCAGAACTAAACAAAGCATATACACATATCTTATCAGAGGCGTACGCAGTCATTCCCAAGGGAGGACCCTAAGCGGAAATCAACGCACGTGTTCCCAATGGAGGACCCCAAGTAGAACCAGAACATAACAGAGGTGTACATAGTCAGTCCTGAGGGAGGACGCCAAGCGGACATCAGTGCACAAACAAATCAATGGCCAAAGATCAATACAGAAATCACATCAGAACAAATCATGTCATGTTATCAAATAGCTCTATATGAATGCATCTATATAAAGCATCAAATACAATTTTACAATCCAACCATAGTTCATCAACCACGTGGAGCACTCAAGCAGGAAAAAACTCCTTAAACATAGAGCTTACCTTTTGAAATTTTACCGATTTGCTCATTTGTAACACAAGTTACCTATTTAGCTCCAAAGGAAATCCAAAGACGCTTAGTCCCTAGGCACACCTAGAGACAGAATCCAAATTGAAGCTCAATAAAATGTTACAATGCTATGTAATTACAAGACATACATTTTTTTGTTTACTTTCATTTCTTTTCATATATGCCAATTCTATGCCAAATTCCCAGTCAAGACAATCCTTTCTTAAGATCATTATTTAACACATTTACGGATGATTACTCGTAACACAAGCAACCAACCGGTTTCATAATTACCTAGGGTCCTTAAATGACCCAACCAAGCTTCTAACATAATCTTTACAATTTTTAACATTTCCTAGTTCCACAATTCATGCAATGGCCGAAGCCAATACCAAGAAAGACTAGGAATTTCATCAATTCTTTTTACACAACCATTGGTTCCTAGAACCCACACTTAGCCCTAAATTATTCATATATGATCTCATAACAATTTTTAAGCCTAACTTTGCCTATTTTTGGTCACAAGGTCGTTGCAACACATACAAAGGAGCTACGGTGCTTCTCATTATGTCTTAAACTATTTAACTTCAAAATCATACTAAAGCCATGCATTAGGACCTAACCAAATCATCAAAATAATTTTTAACATAATCATCCCTAATTAGACCCTAATGGCCGAAATTCACAAGGAGGGTTTCCGATGGATTGTCCACTTGGTATTCTCACTTTAATACCTAAATCTCAACATACACATACATATAAACCTCTACAATTATTTAATTTAATTATTTTGGCACATTAACCCCTAAATGCCCAATATGGTCGAACCCAGTGTGGTGGTCCAAGGGGATTTTTATTTTATTTTATTTTTCCAACTCATCATCATGCTTGCTTGATACTATATCATCATAAAACACACTAATACTTCATAAATTTCAAGTTTTCACTTCATAAATTCTACACAAAATATGCTCATATTATTCAAAACTTAACCCAAGAAAATCAAACCATTAGAACGAGGATTTCTTACATCAAATCGCTTACCCAAGGTCCAAGGAACATAACCTATGCTTGGCTCCAACTAAAACCACAATTTCTCTCTTGGATGAATAGTAACTCAAAATGGGAGGAGAGGAGAACTTTTCACACAAGCATTTGCAGCCTAAAATAAGGGGTGGAAAGGATTCATTGGATGATTTCCTATCAATTTCGTGTGATGGACTTTTGCATTTGGATGATTGTGTGATGAGAAATCAAAGATAAAAGAAAATGGAAAACCTAAGCTATTTCCATGGAAGAAAGAGGCAGAGACCAGCGCACGAGGAAGAAGAAATAAGGTGGGGTGTCACAGTTTCTAAATTTAAATAGGTTAAGTTTCTTTAACTGGGTAACGACTTATCTACACACCTCTATTCAATACCAAACTTTACCCAATGAACAAGAATATTTTTCTCGTCATATTTCTATATTTACTTTTGCATTCTGGGTAATTTTTCTGACCGATATTTTTACCCCAAAAATCTCACTGACTGTACTTTTTACCTCAAAAGTAACCCTAATTTATTTAATTAGGTCTTTTACTTAATTTAACTCATTTATACATGAATCATATGCCTTTTTCTAATTAACCGGGTTAGGGATATTATATTCACCCCACCTTTTAAGGATTTTGCCCACAAAATCACATATATGACATAACACATACCTGAAGTCAAACTTAGGATACCGCTGGAGTTAAACCTTCCCATTGTACCTTGGTCATGTGAATAACCATGTTCCTCAATACTTTCTCATCACAAGCTAGAACTTTCATTGGTCCCACAACAAACTCAGATATTTCTTTACCTCAATATTGTCCTACTGGACAATGTGGGACACATCAGGTACATATTTGCAAAGATGACTGATGCTATGTAGATTAGATAAATGTAGAGGTAAGGCAAGCTGATACATCATAGGTCCGACCCTCTTTATAATCTGGTAAGGCCCTATGAACCTAGGACTCAACTTCCTCACTCCAAGAGCACGCCCAACACCTGTAGTCGGAAACAAACGGATAAACACATGATCCCCTTCAGAAAATTCAATGGGTCGATGTTTCGCATCATAACAACTCTTTTGGCGGCTCTGTGCTTTCTTTAATCGATCCTTAATCATAATATTCTGATCAATAGTCTCCGGGACCATATCAGGCCTAAATAATTGTCTCTCACCAATTTTTGACCAACAAGTAAGCGCTCTGTACCTACGGCTATACAAAGCCTCATAGGGAGCCATGCCCAAACTGGCATGATAACTACTATTTTAGGAAAATTCCACCAGAGGCATATATTTATCCCAAGCAGTCCCCTGCTCTAAGGCACGAGCCCTCAACATGTCCTCTAAAGTCTGAATGGTCCTCTCTGTCTGACCATCAGTCTGGGGATGATAAGCCGTACTCAGCCTCAGTTGCGTACCGAATGCCTGCTACAATGCTTCCCAAAGTCGAGAAGTGAACTTAGGGTCCCGATCACTAATGATACTTTCAGGAACACCATAAAGTTTCACAATCTCCTTCATATATAATCGAGTCATCTGCTCCATAGAGAAACTCATCTTGACTGGAATGAAATGTGCAGACTTTGTCAATCTGTCTACCACAACCCATATGGAATCAAAACCAGCCTGAGTTCTCGGCAATGCCACTACAAAATCCATCGAAATACTGACTCATTTCCATTCTGGAATATCCAAAGGCTGCAATAATCCAGAGGGCCTCTGATGTTCAATCTTTACTTTCTGACATGTCAAACACTTATTCACAAACTGAGCAATATCTTTCTTCATGCCCGACTACCAAAAATTATGTTTCAAGTCTTGGTACATCTTGGTAGCACCAGGATGGATAATGTACTTACCCATATGTGCCTCACTCAACACCTCATCTACCATCTGACCTTTCGGAACAATGATCCGATCTTTAAAAGACTTAAGACTGAGTTTATCAGTGGATACAAAGTCCTGTTCTTTCAAAGATTGAACCTCTTTATCAAGTAATTGAGCTTCTTTAAGTCACTCAACCAATGAGTTCTGGACTATCGTAGAAGTCAACAAATATGGGTTATCCTCTGCATTCACAGGAATGTTAAGATCCCTAAACTTCTTAAATAAATTATACTTGGCGATCAGCATATTGGCTATACAAAGCGCCTTTATGCTTAAAGCATCAGCCACTACATTGGCTTTACCTGGGTGATATTGTAATTCAAAATTATAATCCTTCAGAAATTCCACCCATCGGCGTTGCCTCATATAAAACGCTTTCTGATCAAACAGATACTTTGAACTTTTATGGTCACTGTGGACAACAAAATCGGCACCGTATAGAAAGTGTCGCCAGATTTTCAAAGCGAACACTACGGCTGCCAACTCAAGATCATGTGTTGGATAGTTCTACTCATGCAGCTTTAACTGCCGAGAAGCATAAGCAACCACTTGACGTAGCTGCATTAATACACAGCCTAATCCAAACTTAGAAGCATCACAATATACTACAAATTTACTTGTAGGATTAGGCAATATCAACACCGGAGCGGTAGTCAACTTATTTTTTAACTCCTGAAAACTCACTTCACATTCTTGGGTCCACACAAATAGGTTCCCTTTACGAATTAATCGTGTCATAGGTAGTACCATCCATGAGAATTCCTCAATAAAATGCCAATAATACCCAGTCAAACCAAGAAACTCCTTATTTCAGTAATATTTTTAGGACGCTCTCAGTTTAACACTGCTTCAATCTTACTCGGTTCCACTGCCACTCCTTCAGATGAAATGACATGGCCCAGAAATTATATCTCGAAAAGCTAGAAGTCACACTTGGACGGCTTAGCATATAACTGATGATATCTCAGAATCTGTAGAACAATCCTCAAATGCTCAGAATGCTCTTCTTTGCTCTTTGAATATATCAGTATGTCATCAATAAAGACAACCACAAACTGATCCAGATAGGCTTTAAAGATCCGATTCATATAACTCATGAAAATGGCTGGTGCATTTGTCAGCCAAAATGGAATAACCAGGTACTCATAGTGTCCGTGTCTGGACCTGAAAGTTGTTTTCGGAACATCATCCGGCTTTATCCGAATCTGATGATATCCGAACCGAAGAAAAATCTTAGAAAATACAGTTGCACCACACAACTGATCCAACAAATCATCTATACGCGGCAAAGGATACTTATTCTTAACAGTAACCTTGTTAAACTCCAAGTAATCTGTACATAATCTCATAGACTCATCTTTCTTCTTAACAAATATCACTGGGGCTCCCCACGGAGACACTCTTGGTCTAATAAAATTCTTACTGGACAAGTCTTCAATCTGCTTCTTTAGCTCAGATAATTCCAATGGTGACATATGGTATGGGGCTAAATAGATAGGCCCCACACCAGGGAACAAGTCAATTGAGAATTCAATTTCCCTCTCTGGCGGGAAGTGCATAATTTCATCAGGAAAAAATCCTCAACATCAGAGACACTAGGGATCTCAGAAATTGGCTCCTTATTGACACTAACCATACCTCCCGACAGAATAAATCCAGAATCTCCTTCCTTCAAGGCTTTTGCAACCCGAAGGACAGACAGATAAGAAGACTCCCCCTCTTCATCATTAGATGAGATAGAAATGGTCTTGCTGCAGCAATCAATCTTCACACAGTACTTAGACAACCAATCCATTCCCAAAATTATATTCACAGAGGCAAGATGTAAGATAATAAAGTTAGCAAAATACTCTCTACTATCATACTTAAATTTTACATCTTTACAAATATACTTTTCATCAAAAACGCTTCCCACAGCCGTAACAAAACGCATAGGAGTTCTCATTTTTGTCACAATCAGATTAAATGCTTTAGCTATATAATCAGCAACAAAAGAATGTGTGGCACCAGAATCAAACAAGACATTAAACATTTCATTATGATTAGAGATAATACCTCGCACCAAACTAGTCGATCTCTCAGCCTCTTACTGAGTCACTGCATACACCCGAGCAACTGAAGGTGGAAGAGGTAGAGATGGTTTCTCAACCATGACAGGAGTCGGAGTAGCCTGAATTATATAAACCTATCCCCCGTTAAAGGGACAATCCTTAAAGAAATGCCCTGCTTGGCCATACTTATAACACATAATGAGGCTTATCACAAGTAGCACACTGAGCAACAAGTTTATAATTGCCAGACTTTGAATTTCCAGCCTTTTTGAATTTGCCATATACCTGTTTCACCTACAAACCTTTACCTTTAGAACCCCCAGTAGTGTTTTTAGGCCATGAAAGTGTCAGAAGAATGTCCTGCAAGCTTTTCAGAAATGTTATCATGTAGTGCTCATTGAAATTTAAACATCAGATCTTTCTCAGTAGGCAGAGCTCTCTGGAAATGAGAATATTTTGCCAATTTGTTAAACTTATTCAAATATTCATCAATGGACATTTGACCATGCTTTAGATCCTCAAATTCTCTTTTTTTTCGTAGACGGGCTTCTTCCGAAAAATATCTCATCAAGAACTATCTTTCAAATAAAGGCCATGTGATGGCGTAACCCTGGCACTCCAAGGGTTGACGAGTATTCTTCTACCAGTTCGTTGCATCATTTTGCAACATATATGAAGCATATAACAATTTCTGCTGGTCGTCACACTCCATCACTGTAAAGATACGATCCAGTTCCTCTAACCACTGAATCGTAGCAATAGGGTCAATGTCGCCTTTATAATGTGGGGGAGAACGTTTTCAGAATGCATTTAACATCGGATCCCTCTGCTCTTTATTAACAACAGGCAGCCCCACAGACCTGGCAGCCCCGACATGGTGACTGCCACCCACACCACCCTTATGACTGGACGCTTTATTTTGATTATTTACTCCTTCACCCTCCTCTACATGGAGAGAATGAGGGGGAGGAGTATGCTGATGTGGCTGTGGCTGTGGCTGTTGCTGTAAACCTTGCCCACCAGCCCACACCTCGGCTAAAAGTAATCTCATCATTTCAACATTTGCAAATCTATTTGCTGTCAACATATCTTGATTATCTTTCAATTCAAGTTCCTGTTGTCTTGTTGCACCTAGAGTCTGCTGCAATGCAGTAAGAGCTGTCAACATAGGATCCGACTGCGAATTATTGCCTTGACGATTTATTCGAGGCCAAGCCATATCTGCTAAAGTAGGATCTGTCTGGTCAACGGGAGGATCAGGAGACCCTCTTGGACGAACCATAATTCTGCACATTTTACACAACGGAATGAGTTAGCTACGCTCATACTCAGTGATGAGACATGCATATCATAGCCCTCCAAGAAAACACTCTAGAATGTCATAACTCAAACATCTTATGCAATATATTATGGACTTTCCTAGAGAAACTGCTCTGATACCATACATGTAACATCCCTGTAAGAACCCGCACCGTTAATTGAGGAATTTAATTAATAAATTATGAGAAAATAGGAAATGATTCCATAATTGACTCTAATAATTATTATGAGGCTTTAATAATTATAGTAAGTGATTTAGAATGCTGAAAGTCGCTTTTCGGAAGAAAAGTGCAGATACCGGTTCTGATAGTCGGTATAAATGCGTGCCTAAAAAGTATCCCAGAAAATTATAATAAGTGTATGATAATTACTAGAATGATATGTAGGACTTGTAAAACGAGTTTCAAGTCCAAATAATGAGAACTGGTGCTAGAAACCGGTACTGGATTTGAAAAGCGCGTACCGGAAAGGTGCTCAGACAATTATAAGAAATATATGATAATTCTTGCAAAATTGAGTAGGTTAAGAATCCAGAGTTTGGGATTAAAATACTAAGCCTAGCAATTAAAGTTAATACTGTGTGTTAATTGGGTAAGTGGCTATAAATACCCTTATTAAGGGCACAAAACCCTAGAAAACAGTTTCTCTACGTGGGTGAGGGGCTGGTCAGCTGCTGGTTCCACTGTTGCATTGCTTCACCACCATTTTGTGAGCCTTGTGACCTCTCTTCTTCATTTTCTCTTCACTTTGTACCTTGGGAGAGTGGGAGAGATCATTGTGAGTGTGAAAAAAGCTTCTTCCTTGGGTTGTTGGAGCTCCAAGGAGCAACCTTTGTGAAAAAAGGACCCTTCTTGGTGTGCATTTTCGTGCACAGTGTTGAGGCAGACTTGGGAGTTGTTGTGTGAACTCCATAGAGCACCTCCATCCTCTGTTTTGGCTTGTGGTATGTTCATCACCTTTGATCATGAGTCTTTGAGCTTAAAAATGGAACCTTGATGCATGTAAAGGTTAAAAGATGATAACTTAATGTTGGGGTTGGTCAAACACACCTAGAAATGCGTGTTTAGGTGTTTAAAATCGGTAAAAACCCAACCTTGGAAAGATATCTTCACGAAATGCAGTTTCTGCATTCTGTCGTGAAATATCTGGATATCTTCCCGTGGAATATCCGGATATTGAATATCCGGATATTGGATTTGGATATCCGGATATTCGATATCCGGATATGGGAATCGGGATATCCGGATACTGTATATCCGGATACTGTATATCCGGATATGGTCAGTGAGATAACCGGATATTTCATATCCAGATATGCCCCATGGAATATCCGGATATTCTGGGATTTCGTAGAACAGTAGTTGTGCTGTGTGTACAGTAGGCTATTGGGGGTTTGTGGACCCTAGATTGATGCAGTTGAACTTCTGTAATTAATGAACTAAGTCAGAATCGTTGTGATTAAGGGCTTGTGGCTTGGTATGGAGTCTTAAGACGTAAAACGTAAGGAAAGGCGTTGTCGTTAAATTATATGCTTTTGGTGCATTATTATTGATATGGTATTGGTCCATAACAGATTGTGAATCTGTTGTGTTTGGACTTTGAGCTGTGGACTCTTGGCTTTGGGTGTTAGCTTGCAAGGTAAGCTTTTGTGTCCTCAGTTTAGCCATGTTGTGGTTCCGCCATGTCCCATAGTGGTGTGGTTGTATGCATACTGTGTTACATGTTTTGAATATTTGAAATGTTGTTGAGCTTTATGTGTAATGGCTTTTAATATGCATGTGTTGTTCCATCTTGACGGTAAACCTGAGTATGTAGCGTCGTACAAGACAGTGATCCGGGGTGGATGCAAGTAGCGTCTTGCACTAGTGTGGGTATTTGGCGTATGTAAATCCTGTATTTCTCTGGCCAGTAAAAAAGTATTGACACACATGACATGATTATTTGTTGCATTACACTGTTTTAGAAATGATATTGATGAATTGCTTTTAAACTTATATTGCACATGTAACTGATCTTGGGGTGGAAGATCCTTGAGGACCCCTTGTCTTACTGAGATTTCTTGTTTAGAGATCTCACCCCACGTTTGGGGAATGCTTATTTCAGGTTCCGGTAGTTTGGTGACTGATGCCTCTGGCGGCAGGAGGCCAGAGCTTAGTTGATGATATTATGCTGTATTGCTGCCATGACTGGATATAGATGTTGTTTATGTTTTCCGCTATTTATGATTATGTTGTTGTTGAGACTGATGTTGGGCGTGTTGCCTTATTTGAGTGAGGATGGGGATTGTCCATGACACATTATGTTAGTACCTTAGATTGGAGTTGTATAAACTGTTAGATGGTCTGGTCTACGTTGTTGTAGTTCCGTGACGAGAGTCACACTTTTATTATCTATGCTATGAGGTATTTTCAGTTAGCTGTTTTATTGCAATTACGTACAGGCGATGTTTTTTTAATTGATTAATAAGCAAGTTGGTAATGATAATGACATCATAATTGAAAAGAAAAAGATATTCCGCATTTTTAATTAAGCGCTGCATAATAAGATAGTATGATAACATTACCGGATATATACGGGGTGTTACATTTATGCTATCAAAGCAATGGTTCAAGGGAAAAGCCTGTATGTATTGCAATAGTTAGGATGTTTGGTTGTGTCTGTCTTGTGTGTTTACTCCGTCGAATTTTATTATGATAATGCATATGTAATCACATTGCGTGGGCCTGATCAACTCATAATTTGTGTAACTTGTGCAGAGTCATGGTAAGGTTCGGGAGAACACGAAAGACTTCTGAGGATCAACCCGATCTTATCCTGACTGCATTGGCTGAGTTGCAGGCGGCTAGGTTAGCCGATCAGGAGGCCACTATATTGGCCAACGCGGCAATGATGGATGCAGTTCGTGAGGCGAACCGAATAGCCGCAGAAGAGGTTCGTGAAGCGAACCGGAGGGCCACTGAGGATGTCCTCGAGGCGAACAGGATGGCGAACATGACGATGATGAGAGTCATGTTGGAGGAGATGAGGGTTGGTCCTGCTGTAGGCCATGCACCACCGCCACCGCCGCCGCCTCCACCTAGTGTTCAGGATGAGAGCCTGAGTCACATTGGCAGTGCTGCTCATGTCGCTGAGACGAGGGAGACTCTTGTAGAACCTGCTGAGGATCGTGATGTGATAGACCGCCGGCTGAATGCTTTCAGGAAGCATAAGCCACCTGTGTTTGAGGGGTCTTTGGATCCTATTGCTGCTGCGAGATGGCTAGAGTCGCTGGACAAGATTTTTTGGGTCATGCAGTGTACAGATCCACAGAAGCTGATGTTCTCGACTTACATGCTGGAGAGCGATGCCCATGAGTGGTGGACGAACACCTCTCGTGCTTATGAGATGCAGGGTCGTGTCATGACATGGCCATTATTCGAGGAGTGTTTCTTGGGCAGATACTTTTCTTATGATGCGCAGGAGAGGAAGCAGGGGGAGTTTGATAGATTGGTTCAGGGCTCGATGACCGTTGACGAGTACTTGGCCAAGTTTAATGAGCTGGTGAAGTTTGCACACTTCAGGATGGTTCCTCCTACTCCAATGTTTCTGGCTGCTAAGTTCCGCAGAGGACTTAGTGAGGTGATTGCTGAGCATTTAGCTGGAGCTTCTTCGAGGGACTTTG